TTTTAGTAGTAGTTCTCAGTAAAAATATTCAGTGCCTTTTTATTTACATAAGACAAATTCCAGTAGTAAACACCCAATGTAATCAGACAAGTGAAACAAAATTTGACTGATTCGTGATTGGGAGAAATCCTCAATGAGAATATTCTATACCATTTTATTCGTATAAGAAATAAATTACAGTAGTAAACACCGAATATTATCAGACAAGTGAGACAAAATTTGACTGATTCGTGTTTAAAAGTGATTCTAAATAAAACAAATCTGTGCTATTTTATTCCTAACTATTCAAGAGGTATCTCTATATATAAGGCATAAATTACAGTAGTAAAAGCACAGTTTTATCAGACAAGTGAAACAAAATTTGACTGATTTGTTTTTAGTAGTAGTTCTCAGTAAAAATATTCAGTGCCTTTTTATTTACATAAGACAAATTCCAGTAGTAAACACCCAATGTAATCAGACAAGTGAAACAAAATTTGACTGATTCGTGATTGGGAGAAATCCTCAATGAGAATATTCTATACCATTTTATTCGTATAAGAAATAAATTACAGTAGTAAACACCGAATATTATCAGACAAGTGGAACAAAATGCAACTGATTCGAAATAAAAATATCTCAGGCCGCGTTATTCATAGCTACCCAAGAGATATTGCTAATGAAACTTGAATACGTGTACAATGGGAGTAGAGATGCAGCCATGGGATCCCATTTCCAGTAACAGGCTAACGGCTTTGCTTTTCCAGCTGGAACAATCGAGCCCTTCTTGGCGACTGGCTGATACCGCGTTGCAACAGCCACATAACTGTCACCGGGCTGGCGTGATTCACATGAAAGATCGCGCGTGACTCAACGCATCTGTACACCCATAAATGCTATCGTTACTGCTGTTAAGCTTCGTTACGTTCATCCCGCGATACAACTTTTTCCACCGCTATTCTTCCCTTTATTCTTCGCTGCTTAACGGAGTTGAACTGAGCCAAATTTGATGCGTTCAAGTCGTTTGCTGATGTAGCCTTTTACTACCACCTTTCCATTCAGCGGAATAAATTACGAGATTTAGCTTAGCTTGGATTATTTCGACGGGGTTGTGTCTTCTCGTTTCTAGCAATTTCATAAATTGTCTGTGAGAGTTCTGAACCTCTTTCACGGGCCGGTTCATTACTGGGGATACTTAAAAAGAGACGCGAATCGGTATCACCGAGTCCTCAGATTTTTGATAAAAATAGTGTCGCGAATTTGAAAAGATAAGAAATCGAATATTATTAAAAATCGCGTGAGAGTGATAGAATGTCTGCGTGCTCAGTCTAAACAGAGCTGTGACGCCCAAAATACGAATGACACTTAAAAAGAGACGCGAATCGGTATCACCGAGTCCTCAGATTTTTGATAAAAATAGTGTCGCAGACTCGAAAAGATAAAATATCGAATACTTCGATATTATTAAAAATCGCGTGAGATATTATTGGATATTATCCAAAATACGAATTTGCATAAAAATTCGCAGTCTACTGATTACTTACGCAGTCTGCCGAATTTCTGACCGGAAGATTTCAGAGTTTGCGAGCGAAAGTCGAAAACGAGAACAGCGATACTACCATCGTTGTTACACTGTAATCATTTAAATATATTATTCTCGTCATAGATTTTCTATTCTCTATTCCTGTAGATTCTCCATTACTCAACGAAGTGTTCAAAATTACACACGTCAAACGTGTCAATTTATCATTTATCATTTTCGATCCATTTCACAGTATACCCTGTCAGCAATATGTTGAAACACCCAGCAAAAATCCCAATTATCCACCTAATCGTACTTTCCCACGAGAGAACCCTTTAACAGATGAATATTTCAGGTCTAGTAATTAGCGAGGATTTACTGAAAGGGGAGGATCTAACTGGTGTTCCCAGGCAACACGTGTCCACGTCTGTCTACGCGTGTTTAACAATGATAAACTGCTAGCTGATCATCGCGGAGAGGAAACGCGTTATCAATCACACTTCGTTTACTATAGCTTGCCACTTTTATCGTCGTCCGTCTACCGGTAGAAGTCAGAAGATTCAATAAATCCTCTCTCGAGACCTTGTAATTTCCTTATTGCACCGCTTCGATAAATCGTTCACGACACTACCTCTCGCGACCGGCGAGCTTCCTATCGATTCACAGCTGAACTTTCACAAAGCGTTTCGTCTAACTGCGTTATTTCGAATATCTGAGGAGTTACTTTTGCTGGTTCGAGTTTCAGGACAAATTCTGGACTGCATATGTGCCAGATCGTGGTAAGCACTCGTTTGAATGATCTACGCTCGTTGGGAATAAACGATGGACAAGGATCGAGAATTCACGAATATTCGCCACTCGTTAAATAACGCAGTTACTTCATTAACGAAGCCAATAACGAGGTATTTTATGCGTTCGCCCCTTTGGAGTATTTTCACCTGGAGGATTCGTGGTTAAATCATGGGTATCTTTAATTATTTCGTGAATTTTCCGAGGAGAGTTTTGGTATTGGTGAAATGAAAATTCTCGTGGAATGAACGAAATTAGAAAATACTTGCGAGGCTTTTTATTCGTTCCGAATGGCAGAGGTAATTTGAAGTTTTGCTCACTGATGAAATTAAAATTCTCGAGACAATGGAGAAGTTGGGGATATTTTGTGGGATTTTTTATTAATATTAAACAGCAACGATTATTTGAAACTACTGTTATGAAAATAAGAAGAAAGTCAATTTAGGGAACTAGATTCAATTTTTTGAAAATGTGATTCTGAATTCAAATTAAGTTATTCCTGAAAATTAGAAAAGAGTGGGTTTATGAAGGGATATTAAAAAATTGCGAATATTGCTTTTCCAAAATTTTCACATTTCCTTCACAAAGTTTCTACACTATAAATTAGAAGTTTCTCGGAATATCTCGGAAAAAGCCTGAATTTGAATCCAAATTAAATTATTCTTCAAAATTAAGAACGTGTGGCTTCATGATGGAATGTTAAAATTCTAAATATTGTTTTTCCCTTATTTTCACATTTTCTCGCACAAAGTGCATTAGAAATTTCCGGTTAAATATGCCAAAATATCTCAGAAGGGAGCGTAAATTTGAATTAAAATTAAATTATTCTTCAAAGTTAAAGAAGAGTAGCTTGATGAAAGAATATTAAAAATTTCCAAATATTGTTTTTCCCTTCTTTTCACACTTTCTCGTACAAAATTTGCACAAAGTGCATTAGAAATTTCCGGTTAAACATGCCGAAACATCTCAAAAAGGGGCAGTTTCGTAAAAAAATATGAAACGATGCAATTCTTACTTTTCCAAAATTTCCGCCAAATGCATTAAAAGTTTCATCTCAGAAAAGTCGAGAAATTCCCGCAAATGTCCAACTCAAATCACGATACAGGCGGTTACACGAGCGACAACCCTTTCCCCGCCATGTTTTCCAGGGTTACACCCGTGGAATCGGCGGCCAGTGAGCCGGAAGGAAGATAAAATCCGGCGATTTCTGTGCGCCTCGTTAGATCTGAACGGCGCAATTAACAACGTCGATCCGGTCGATCGCGTTTGGACGCCCAAAGACGCCGGAGACTCGTGTCCCATTCGCGCTCCATTTAAAAATTTCCCTCGTCGATATTTAAAGGGGAGAACACAGACACGCAGGAAAATTAGCCAATTTCTCTTCTGAATTTCCTTCTTCTCCATCCCGCTCTTCTTCTTCATCGAGGAAATTCAGATCTGGTTATCCGACCGTCTTTCTCTCGCCCTCTGTGTATTGACGAGTCCAGTTGCCAGCATAGGACAATTTAGATCCAGTCGACCGATAAATGCCGCGCGATTGAATAACGGCTTGATTAAACGCGATTCCATTTCTGATAATTCCACGACTCCTCCGCTCCCGCGGAATTTTCCTCGCGATGAAACCGAGGAAACGGAAAGGTGTCTCTGTTAATACTGCGATTTTTAGCCAATTGTCGAAAATATGGGGTGAATTGAGTGTTTGAGAGTTATTGAGCTACTGTGTTTCTTTTGAGATGATGAAGGGAATGATTTATCTTTTTATCTACTTTTGTGATTGCTTCTCACAGGTAATGTAAATTTTTTGAATTCTTGTTCCTCTTTGTCAATAGGAATGATTTCAAAGAATGAGCTACATTCCAAAGCACAGAAATTTAAAATTTTCATTCCTTTCTGTCAATGAGAATAATTTCAACGAATTACCAACATTCCAAAGTATCATAAAAATTTGAAATTCACATTCCTCTTCGTCAATAAGAATGATTTCAAAGAATGAGCTACATTCCAAAGCACAGAAATTGAAAATTCTCATTCCTTTTGTCAATGAAAATAATTTCCATGAAATTCCACAGAAATTTAGAATTCTCATTCCTCTTCGTCAATAGGAATGATTTCAAAGAATGAGCTACATTCCAAAGCACAGAAATTTAAAATTCTCATTCCTTTCTGTCAATGAGAATAATTTCAACGAATTACCAACATTCCAAAGTATCACAAAAATGAAAAGCTCTCATTCCTCTTCGTCAATAGGAATGATTTCAAAGAATGAGCTACATTCCAAAGCACAGAAATTTAAAATTCTCATTCCTTTTGTCAATGAGAATAATTTCCACGAAATTCCACTGAAATTTAGAATTCTCATTCCTCTTTGTCAATAGGAATGATTTCAAAGAATGAACGACATTCCAAAGTATCACAAAAATGAAAAGCTCTCATTCCTCTTCGTCACTAGGAATGATTTCAAATAGCGAGCGACATTCCAAAGTATCACAAAAATGAAAAGCTCTCATTCCTCTTCGTCACTAGGAATGATTTCAAAGAAAGAGCTACATCCTTGAAAAAAATGAAAAATTCTCATTCCTCTTCGTCAATGAGAATAATTCCAACGAATCCCCGATATTATCCCAGAAGCATAAAAACTAAAAATTCTAAAGTGTAATTCCGAAGAAATACCCACATTCCAAAGTATCACAAAAATCACAAATCTACTCACGATGTCCTCGCGGCGGAGATTCGCCAGTGATGGAGGCGATGCGCGGTGCGTCCTCGGTGATGTCGATGTCAGCGGACTTCCGGTATACGTCCGCTATGGAGACTGTGCAACGAAGATGAAGCCGTCCGCTTTGAAACATGTCGTTCGTCACTTTGAAGTCTATGGTAGATTTCGACACCTGAGAGCCGTCGTCCTGTGGGATGGCCAAGTGTCTGGTCCTGTACACCATACTGTCATTCGCGATCTGCAATAAAATCCACACGGAAAGGAACCGTTTAAATCCTCATTTTATACCTGTCCAAGAGAAATCTGCAACAGGTTTCGCTTCTTTTTTTATTCTTTCAATTTCCAAAAAATACCGTCCACGGGGAAGAGTCGAACAATTCGCAATATGCAACCAGCGGTCGAAAAATGTATCCGTACGTGGTTCAATTAAATCAGACCGTGAGAGCGTATTTAATCCTTTCAACGAGAAAATTGTTTGCTCCTTTCCCTTCTTTTTTCTTTTTTTTTTCTATCCACTCGTCGCGAAGTGGGACCATGCATTGTGTTATTTTCTCTCTCTCTCACGTTGCAGTGCCACGGAAGATTTAATTACAAAATTACTTTCACTAGGGTACACGAGGCACACGGAATATTTGCGCGTTAACAATGCAAGAAAACAAGTGTGCATGTCAAACAAATATTTAGCTGGCAGAAAATGAAACAGATTAATTCTGAAACGGCCTGTTCTATATATACATCACCGGAACAGCCCCGCGTATAAAGCATGAATTATTATACTGCGTTCACGTTTGCTACAGCGAGGAACGCGACAAATGCTTTCCCGTGCTCGAAAACTGGACCGAAATTATCCGTGGTATTCACCTACCGTCTTTACGAATATCATCTTGTTCAGACTCTCGGAGTATCGTTTTATGCGTTAATAAAAACGTCGCGTATTTTTAGTCAACGTTAAATTCGCTTTACCGTTAATCCTCCTCCGTTCTTCAGAAGAAAAATCAGGGTTGATTAGGATTTTAAATTTTCACGAGAGGAGCAAGGATGAATATAATAATAACTATTGTTGATGCAAGATAATGTAATAATTGTAAATATATAAAAAAGTTAACTGGTAATAGTGTAATAGTGTAGCAATAAATAAATGAAATGTGTCTGTAAAATATACCTAACTTCCAGCATAATTCTCCAGAATAACCTAACTTCGTCTGGAATTTTTACTATACTATTAAACTACCCTCGGTATACATGCATTAACCGACATTGTTACAATTTATACAACTTCTAAAAAAAAAAATACAATTTATGAGAAAATGCGAATTTAAAACGATACCGAATCTGTTATTAATTTTTCATTCATTTGGGGCTGATATTACAGGAGTCAATAGCAATTTATTTTATTTAGACTAATTAATGTAATAAAGTTTCTTTCAGAAAAATTCTTGAATCTACCACTAATTTTTTAAAAATTTGAAATTAATGTTATAGAGGTCATTAGTGATTTGTTTTATTTGTACATTATTGCGATCAAATTTCTTCTAGAAAAATTCTTGAATCACCGTTAATTTTTTAAAAATTACAGTTAATGTTATAGGGATCAACAGTAATTTATTTTATTTGCAGGTTAGTGTAATAAAATTTCTTTCAGAGAAATTCTTTAATCTAGCATTAATTTTTTAAAAATGCTAATTTATTTTATTCGCAGATTAGAAAAATTCTGGTCTCCCTAGCAATGCACATTGGCCTGAAATTTTTATTTAAAAGTGAACCTCAAATATTTACCATCCAACACTCAACGTTCACCTAATACAGAATTTATTACCGTGTCCATTGAAACTTCTCTCGTCGACACTCTTCTACACCCCGAGCCAACATAACCGAAGATAACCACCATTCCTCGACCACTTGATCGCCTAACATTCCCACCGAGCCGCCCTACCATCACAACCGAGCCACGAAACATTATCCTCCAACTAATACACCGTTCAAACTGTTACTCCCCCGGTTTATTGCATCACTATCCCTCTCCTTTTAACGTCTCCCCGGACAAACACATCCATCGATCGTGCCTCGAACCTTCCCCCCTTGGTCAATTCAATTTCCACGGCAGCATCGAAGATGGCGCCTGCAGATTTCCCTCGGTTCGCCACGAGAACAGAGATTCGTCTCTGCTTCGTTTCTCCTAAAGATATTACGTAGTTTCGTTGCTCTTAAGGTAAATGAACGAGCAGAGGGAGACAGCGAACCTTTCCTCCTCCTCCCTCTTCTTCTTCTTCTTCCTCCTCCTCCCTCTTCTTCTCTCCGAAGCGTAAGAAAGAAGAAGAAGACGAAGAAAGGAATGGAGACGAGACGGTGGAGAAGAGTCGCTCGGCGTTATTACTTCGGGGAACAAACGAGGCTGTGCATTAAGTCCGCGGACTTACGATGACTACGCGGCCTCTCTCTTCATAAAACATAATGCATAAAGCTCGTGCCTTGTCGCGTACCGCCGCCTCCTTATCGCTCGCCAACCTTTTGCAAACGGGATGATCCCGCAACGACGTTGTATCGACGCGTCGGGGATGGTTCGAAACAGGGTTTTTCCAGACGGGGACACGTCGACACGCTGATTTTTATTAAGATCGAGCGCGATGCTCGATGTCGAGGGGGATGCAAGCTCCGCGGTTAATGGCGATGGAGAACGTAGATTTTGCGGAGGCGATGGATTCGCATATCTCGTAGATACTGGTTTCTCAGACAGTTCAAGGGATGAGCCAGCGAGCTGAGGGGATTTTAGGGTGTCGCTCGCGGGACGAGTGCGTGGAAGTTGCTGGTAAACGAGATTTCAGGATTCGTGGTTTACTGTGATGGTTGTGGGAGGATTGAGAAGTGTTTCGAGAAGAATTGTGGAGAATTGAGAAGTGCTTGGGAAATGCGCAGACTTGAGGTCTTTGAGATTCGATCGGTGTTCGAGGTAACTGAGCTTTTGTGGCCGGAGCTTTTGAGAGTTGAACTCTGAGATTGCAACTTCGAAACTTAAACTTTTGAGAGTTGAATTTTCGAGGCTGGAGCTTTTGAAAGTTGAACTTTTGAGAGCGGAACTTCTGAGGCCGGAGCTTTTGAAGATTGAACTTTCGAGGCTGGAACTTTCGAGACTGGAGCTTTTGAGAATTGAACTTTCGGAGTTGAACTTCCGATGATGTAGCTTTTGAGAGCTAATCTTTCGAGGCTGGAGCATTTGAGAGTTGAACCTTTGAGGCTTGAGCTTTTGAGCGAGTTTAGTGTTATTGAATTCAGATTTGTATCAACTTTTGAGGCACCTGAGTTCTCTTTATTCGAGACTTTTGGAGGAAATACGAAGCTTTTGAGTTCCTCAGATTTTGAGGTATTCCATTGTCTCCTTGGAGTACATTTTATGAACTTTAATATTTTCCATGAAACTTGGAGCTTTGACAATTTTGAAACGAATTAACATGTTTCAATGACGTTGGATGTAATAAACCATCAAGCATAGGTTTCGAGTACCCGATATTTTGAGCAATCGCGGCCTTTAATCATGCCCACTAACAGCCACGCTTTTAAGCCTGTGTGATTCTTCCATCGGAAGGTGGGCCGCTTTGCGGTGGAAAATGAGGTGCAATCACCGTGGCGGCGATCTGCTCGAGAATATTTCGATCACGCGACACTTCTCATTAATTTCGCCGGTCAAATATAATTAACCCGATATCCGGTCTACGTATTTCCATTAGGCAGCCATCGACGAGGGATCATTCCAGATTTATCGAGCCCCACTCGATGACGCACCGATGCTCCAAACGAGAAATTTCCAAACTCTGCCCCGATATCTTCGTAAAATCTCTCTCTCTCTCTCTGTCTCCCTGAAAAACACTGTTTTCACGATTTGCGTCACATTGGTGGGAACTTTACGAGCTTGTTACACGGCCCTCCCCTGCTCGTGGAATTTCCACGCGTCGTTGTAAATTCACCCGAGTTTTGTCGCTTTCTCGAAAATTCCGCGCCGCGTAACGTACAGCTCCAACGCGAAATTCCTGTCGCGAATCTTCTGGACAGAATCTAGAACGTGTTCTCCTCACGCGAAACGAAAGTTTACGATCTTCACCTATTACTGCTTCCATTTTGAACGAAAAGGGAGCGGAACATTTAACAATCTCCCCGGTTCCTCGCTCGGGAGGACTGAATACAGTCTGAGTTGGAAATTGTGGACTCTCAAGGTCACTCGGCAGCTTCTTCCCCCTCCAGAATTTAATCGCGACAGACTGTACAATTACAGAGTGAGATGGACTGGATGTATAAATAGTGAAACACTGTTTTTCGTCAATTTTTGGAAGAATTATTCTGATACAATCTTAACTTTACTGTTATCTCAATTGAATGTCAACGGTAAAAGGGAGATGGATCGAATGTGTAAATAATGAAACGCTGTTTTTCACAAATTTTTAGAAGAATTATTCTGACAGTCTTATTTTAATTTTACTGTGGTCTCAGCTGAAGATCAACAATAAGAGATAGAGATGAATCGAATGTATGAATAACGAAACGCTGTTTTTCCCAAATTTTTCCAATAATTCAACTACCCTATCTTCACTTCAACTTCACCATTATCTTACCCGAAGATCAACAATATAGAGACAAACTGTGCCATATTCAGGAATCCGCGACGTACTCAGATATTCATCGCGAGAAATATTCATACTTTCCAGGAACCTTCAATCCCGCCGGAGTGAAACTTACGCAAAATAAACTCCATCAATTCGAAAAGACGGCGGATGAAAGTAAGGGAAGAAGAAACCGGAAGAAGTGGAAAACCTCTTGGAAAATTCAGTTCGACGTTCTTTAACCGGGTTTCCACTTCGATAACTCGAAACTTCGGGCTCAACACACCACGGCTACACCATCCTGACTAGTCGTGCTCGAAAATTGCAACGCACAATGACAGTGTGGCGCTCGAGGAGCGGATGACGCGTTTATCGGCTTTCTGTCCGACGTCTCCACGGGAAGAAGCCTCTAACGAGCGACGGTTTTCGCGACAGCCCGACAAATCCGTGACACGGACACCTCTCGATAATACCTTTTCGATGACCGTGGGTTTGCCTCCTCGAGGAACCTTTCGCCTCGTCTCGTCTCGTCGCCCGAATTTACGAGCTTCCGAATTCCGGAGATTTGTCGAAGGCGACTCGGTCGATGTTTCAACGGTGGTTGCTAGCAGAGGAGGGTTGGAGCGTGGCAAGCAAACCGGAAGAATTG